AAGATCCTCTTGTTCCCATCACAGTGAATAAACCTCGGGTTCCTGTTTGCAACACTGCTGGCCACTGGTGACAGCCAGAAGACACAGATGCCGAGGGGCGTTAGTGTCCTGAAGGAACAGATGCTATGGAGGACAGTAATTTAACTTCCCTGATGCAACCTGCTCCCCCTTCTCGTCTGATGTCGCCCCCAACCGCGCAGCGTGCTCCTGTGATCCAGCGGACTCACGCCTGCGGGACACACCACCCTCTACATTAACCCTGAAGGCGCCACCCCAAAGGGGTCGCCCCGCCGACCCGCGTCTTTTCGCCCGCTCGGCACTCCAGAAAAACCACCGGATGAAGCTGTTTCAAACAACAGGCTCACCCGACTCGATACCCACGATGCAGGCCGTCTGTTAAAGGTCCTTAATTTAAATCTACTGTAGCTGGAGAGCGCGGGAAGACTCTATACTCGTATTTACTGTATGTGTATTCTTGCAAAGTAATGAAGCATTTAATGCTCCAGCATAGCCCTTTCCACATTCACAGTTCCAGTTCGTCCCATGAGGGCTTGGCGGTCAGCTTCACACAACAGGGCACTGCGACCACCTGATCCAGGAGATCTGCTCTATTCCCCACTGACAGCCCAGAGGAGGAGGTGGTCATCCCTTCATCACACACGGAGGATTTGGATGCAGCACTCTGTTGAGTACCTTTTCTGTGCCAGATATGTTAGGTAATAAGCATATTACAGGTAGCCTGTCACTCACGGCTCCAGTCAGCCCTTCCTGGAGTTCCTCTGTCGCCACCACACAGCTGAGGAGACTGAGGCTGAGGGATTGAATCACCGGGCGAGTCAGGGGAGGGTCGTGACCCGGAATCTGTCGGGCCTCGCTGCTCCTCTGCTGAGGTCAGCCCTCACTGGGAGTCACCGCGTGAGGAGTTGGCTTTCTCTGAATCCCCCAGTGGGTGGATTTGGGCCTGGAAGACAAAGCTGGGGCTCCTGTTTGTGGCTTGTAAGGAGTGGTT